GATTGAAATTGACTATGATGAAACACAGTATTTTTTTTTCCTGAAAATATAAAAAACAAAAGCATGCAACTTCCACCTTATTAGCCGTATGCCATTATTTGGATAGATGGTTGCCTCATTGGATTGAGAGTGAAATGCATATTTATTATGTTCTTGTATAAGAATCGGAACTAGGCATCAAATTAATGGAGAGTGCACTTAAGAAAGGTCATTGGAATGATTTAGCAAATCAAAATGAATGTGCTTTGCTCAATAATGTTAGATAAGCCAATCATTTTGCAATCAGAGATCGTTACGTGCCCTAACCCATCACATTGATTTGCCAATTGGCACCAATAAAATGAAGTTAATTAATGCTTAAACGTCTCATAATATTCTTTATCCAATGGATTTCCTGTATTTGCACAAAGTTTGAAACAAGTTCTAGTGTTTTCTATGGAGGATCCAGAGGGTGGATGGGGGTGTTTGCCCTTGCCCTCATCTTTTTGTAAAAATTACTGAGTTCCTTTATAGAGAATGCTAAATCAAATTTCAGCCCCCATTTCATATGTTTAAGGTTTTGCATTCTAAGATGTCATCTTTGCATCAAGATACTGAGAACTTAAGAGTTAGAGACCTAGTTGTGGTTGAACTGGAGTCAACCTAATCATGATTAACATAATATAATTCTATTAAAAAAAATAAAAATCTTTGTATATAACCATCAAAAGGTTATATTTAAATAAAAAGGTATGAATTCTCAAATCAATGAAATATCCATATATAAACCGCGCCTAATTTAACAAAATAGAATTATTAAAATACAAATCTGATAATAAAATACTTTTTGAAAATATAAAACGACATCATTTCATGTTAAGTATAAAAAGAGTGGGAAAAAGACAAAATCTAACTCTGACGGTTTGAACTTCTAACTGGCCGATTCAGATAAAGTTGTAATACCATGCTTTGGATCCACCAATGACTATTTCATAATATGATTATCTATATTATATTTTATATTAATGGTATGGTTTGATCAGAATTATCCCCACAGCCACATTCGATAAAACTGAAATAATATATGAATAATTTTTTTAAAATTATCTTTAAGATAAAAAATATAAATGATTTTACACTCATTCAAAGTTATAATTATTATTCTCTTTAATTATAATATAATATTCAGTACAACAATGTCTTATTATATTTTTAAGAGTACAAATTATAAAGTTTAAAATATCAGCAATGATTTATTTTTCATGATTCTTCCAAAAAATTAATTTGAAAATTTTAATTTATATATAAGTACTACTTATAAAACCTTCAATATTTGCGGAAAAAACATAATGGGAAGTGCAAGAGACTTATTATTTTGAATGACTTTTATGCTGAGGAAAGAAACCAGACCAGATCGGCCGATTCAACCAAAAAACCAGCTAATGGTCAAGTCAAGTTTGGGTGTTAAACTGGTATCAATTTGGTCAAACTGGGGTGAACCAAGGACGAATTGATTTGGATGATTATGTTGCTAATGATTTTATTTTTCCTCATCCAACTCATAATTTCAGTATCAATAATTATTAATTTTAGTTATTAAAAAAAATCATAAAGATCAAAATTCTCAATATTGTTATACTTTGTTATTGTTATAATTAAGTTGTTGTTGTATTTTCTTATATTATTTTGTTATTAGTGATTATTAATATTGTTGTATTTATTATTTTCAATTAAACTATATTATTTTAATATGAATGGTTTGATTTTGAGTTAACCCTGATCTGACCCGTTAACCTTTGAATCACTATCACAAACGGTTTAGTGTTCAATCTAATTTTTTATTTCTTGCTATGATGCGATCCTAAGTATCTTTTTTATTCTAATTAGAAAATAAAAAACATCAAATATGATCCAACACTTGCATTTATCAATTGTTTTCTAATAATGTCTTAGTGTACGTACGTACACCCTTTGAGAGAAATTCTCTATGCAATTTTTTCTCCAATTTAATTGTAAGTCAATGATGAGATATTCCTTGAAAATCAAAAGTTATTTTTTCTTGACGAGGAGAATTGTTTTGAAAAAAAAGAAATGAAAACTGCATAACTTAACAAATGGCTGTTTATACTTGTAATACATATAGTGAAAAAAAATGATTTTTCAATACCATGGGGTGGTGATATTGCGTAACCCATTTAGACGGTATTTCTCAATCCCAAGTATTGTTTAGTGCCTCATACTAAATGCGTTAAAATGAGCTATGTAATATGTTAACTCAACTCTCGTAATACTTCATAACAAACAGAGCCATAGTTGCTTCGAAGATTTGGTTTCATACCAGAACCTTGTAACCCTTATAGCACCCCCCCCCCCAACAAGCACAATCCCTCAAATGATAAAGAAGGTTGTGAGATTAACCCCCAGAAGCCAAGTTGGCATATGTGTGATGGGTGTGTCTGGGTCCCTAGTCCTAGGAGAAAGGATTAGGACGAATAACTATATAAAGAACATCTAATGTATACGGACAAAATTTAAATCGAGTTTCTTATATTCATTATGTGAAATTTTTCAATTACATATTATTTTATGTCCTATTTTTAAAATATTATTAAATTATAAACCCATAAAAAAAAAAAGGAATATATGGTCACATGTAACTAAAAAACTTGGCATAATATATATATAAAGAACTTGATGTAAGTTTTTTTCAATGCACATATATGAGAAAGATGCGTGGCACACGATACAATACAATATGTTAGGTCCATCAAATCTTAAAACTTTAAAAATATAGGTGTGGGAGATATGCATATGCAATTATGTACATATTCAACAAATGAACAATAAAACATTTGAGTTTTAGAATGCATTCCAAAAGCAAATTAATAATGAAACTAAGTTTATGAGTTATTGGGAACATCTCAAATAAAAAAAATTATAATAAAATTTTTAAAATATATTGCATGTGTGATGAAGTACAATCAGTTGTTATATTATAGGAGTGTATTAACCCTTTTTCTCAAGTATCGATGCTTCATAGCCACAACTAAAGAAATTATAAAAATTGAGTTAATTTAGATTTCTTAAAAATATGCCATATCTTCAAGATAAAAAAAGGGTATCTCAAGTTTTTAATCTCAAATTGAGTGAAAGCTTTAATAGAAGTGTTCTCTGTTTAAAGAAATTATAAAAAAATTCAAAATTTTATAAACATCCAATTCATCTCCACTTAGAAATAATTGTTAATTCTATCACATGTAAATATAGGGGCACGTAGCTTAAGGATAATCGTCAAAAGAGGTCACCAATATAAAATTTGAGTCCAATAGCAATTTAATTTATTCAATCTGTCACTTTTAAGTTTCAGCAATCCATTTTACTTTTAGACACAAAACCCCCCCCCCAACCCCAATTTTATTCATTTAGGGGAAAAAAGCTATTGGAATAAAATGGAAAACGCATCCAAACCCACCATGCATTTCCTTCTTAACATGCTAAGAAAACTGGCCAGCAGGCTCATTTAGAGCATTAATGCACAAAGCATGAACTACAAACAACTTTAGGATCCAATGTCTAATTTACTAATCTTCACTAATCATAATTAACGGCAAATATTACTCCTTCCATACTAAATGCAAAAGCTAGTTAGGGAGTTAGTTTTAGTCCTTATATAAAAACTTAATCTATTTTATCTCTGATATTTATTATTTTTTTAAAACTAATTTATCTAAATTATTAATTAGATATATGATCTAATGTTACATAGAAATATTTTAAGGAGATCGTATCACATCATATAAAATTAATTTATCTAACTTTTTGAATTTATTCAAAGTAGTTAAGCAATACTTATATTAAGCATCGGACGAGTATAAAATAAGGTTATGAAGAAATTCAAGTTGCGTGATGACCAATAACATCACCAAAGTTCTCTACGTCGTCGTGTCCACTTCCTCTTCTTTTTTATTCTTTTCATTCCCTCCCCTCCACTACTTCCTATACCCTTCATAGATACTACCCACCATATTCACCAACACTTCTTTAATTTCCATATATTAAACTCAAAGTTAGTTTTTTTAACCTAATTTTATAACTAAAAAAGAAATAATTTCTGACTTGACCTTAAAAATATTCCATTCAAATATTCGGAAGTATAGAAATCACCAAAAAAAAAATTCAATACAACGAGCAACAGGATTGAGTGAAAAGGAAATCAACATCACTTAAGTATTAATTTGAATGTTGAACCTTATGAATTAAAAAATCAAATCAAGTTCAAAGAACCAACAATGTTCGGCATGGTTGGCAGATAATTGTGTCTCTTAATTATGTTAATAATTTGATTCCTAACCATATATGTAAAATAGAATTTAATGAGAGAGGCAAAACCCACTTATGTGATCTTTACACCTTGAAAGGGATTAGTTCCTCACTGTCTAGCATACTCTTAGGTCCTGTTTGGTATGAAGCATTGAAAATGATGGATTGAAATTGAGACTACAATTAAAAAAAATCATTAAAATAGTATTTAGCATGAGTAATTGCTTATTATGTGGGATTAAGCAAACGCATAGAGGTGGGATTAGGGAATACCATTTTCCTCATGGTATTCTCTAATCCCACATACATGGGTTTGGCTAATCCCATATAACAAGCAATTTTTTATACAAAATACTCTTTTAATAGATTTTCTCAATTACAATCCCAATCCCATGCCAATCTCTCATTTTCAATATTTCCTACCAAACATAACCTTAGAGTCTTAAAGAATAGAAAAGAAAAAAAACCAAATAAAAAAAATCAGGTTGAAAGAGTTACTATTTCAGCTCAACAATATACTCGAACATGTATTACTCAGAATTATCAAATGTCAAAGTTAAAACAGGCCATTTTGAGATTATTAGGAACCTCTCTTGTTTCTCATGTAGTTTTTTTTCCTTGGTGCATTTTCTATGAGAAATCTCTAAGGGGAAAAAAATATGCTTAGAGAGATATTTTGTGAGAAATTGACTAAAAAAAAGCTTTGCCCTTGGTCTATAAGAAATATTCATGAAAGAATCACTATCTTCTTGTAGTGTTTATATATTGCCTCTGGTTTTAAATAAAAGTTTCTTGAAGCTAAACTTTTGGGGAGTGGGGTTAGCAGTATATATAAACTAACAAATTAAGAAAAAGGAAGGAAGCTGGGAAAGGAAAAGGAAATTCCCACTAAGAAATTCTTTTGGGGATAAGAAGAAATATTTGGCTAAACAGAAAGGGATCAACTCCATGCAACTTAAGCAAAGTGGAGTATAGCTTTTCATTTGTTTAATAAAAAGCTAAACACGAAAACAATGAGACACTCTTATTCTCTTCCATTTGGTTCCCACCCACTTTAGCTTTTTATTCCCCTCTTCTTCTTTTTTATTTTTTGGCAATATGTGTGTTTCACTCTTCTTCCTTCCTATTTTTCACTTCTAAGCCAGAGATGCTGATGAATAATAATAATAATAATAATAATAATAATAATAATAATAATAATAATAATAATAATAATGCATTCAAAATATGTGTGTGTTTTGCTTTGAGAAGAGAATATAGCTGGCGTCCGGTCATTTCAGCCCCTTGGTGTTGGTGGTGTGCCGCTTCACATTCTGATTCACGTCCTGTCATGGGCCCAACATTGGCCCATTTGGTATTGGGCCGTCCTTCATCATCGGTTCATTTTGGGATTGGAGAAAGCCCAAATAAGTGGGTCATTCTGCAGGTAAGACTATGAGTTTACAAATGTACCAAAAAAATTGAGTTCATAAAATTATAATATTGTACCCCAAAAAAATTTATAATATGAGAGTTACTTTATTTGAGTTTAAGAAAACTTAAATTTATCACAATATTACATTACATCATACTCCTTTGGACCCTATTTATATGACACTTAACTTTTTTATAAGACACTACATTGATTGCTTATTGCAGTTTTTCTTAATTTTTCTCTCTTACCCTCATTCAATGTTAACTTTGGAATAAGGAAATACTATCTGGTTTTATTAATATAAAAGTCAGATAATTGATTTAGATATATTAAGAAAATTAGTTAAGTTAGTTATTTGTCACAAATATATATTAATCTCTCTAAATTATCATGTTCAATAATGTGTGTTGGATGATTAAAATCATCTTTTGGTGGGAAACTCCTTACAATCAAGAGATAAGATGGACTAAGATCTTATATTAAGGACTAAATCAAAATTTTCAATCAGCTCTTATATTTAAGATACGACGTAGTATTTAATATTGGGAAAATATAATTTTTAAAATTTTTAGACATTAAGAAGTTTCAATCCTTTTCCTTGATGTCAATAAAAGTATTGAAAATGAAATATAAATAATATTATCACGAGTAGTAAGTGGATCAACTTTTGAATCCATAATTGAGCTGTGGTGACGCATGATCAGATTGAGAAACCGGTAATGAAAGTAATTATATATAGAAAGGTTAGAATATTTGGTGAGGCAGCTTTTGTCTCTGAGGCAGCAAAAGGAAGAAACGACAATAACAAGTCTGATGTTTTATTGCGAAGACAGGAAATAATAAGGATGGATATGTCTCATTCTCATTCTCGGTCTTCATATGTACAGAGAGGTTGGCTAGAATTTCAAAGTGGAAATAGTTCAAGACGCGTGGAATTACTCCACGCTCAGCATCAGTCCACAATACGACATATTTAGACATGAATATGGGCTTTTCTTGTTTTGGAAAAAAAAAAAGTAATTGGCTTATTAAAAGATATGTCTCTCTACTCAAAAATTACTTATAGAAATACTTACATATTGCTTATCTGAACTCTCTTTTTAAATATACAAAAATATTGTAACCCTTTTTAGATCTACCGAAAAAAAAAATCAGTTCTCCATTTTATGTGACAAAACTTCCTACATATTTATCTTGTGCTCCCTCCCAGTCTCTTTTTATAGGGTTAGTATAATTTTTTGTCTCTTAAGTTAACATGAATTTTGGTTTTAGTTTTTAAAGTTTCAAATCTTGAGCATTGGTCTTTCAAGAAGCAAAATAATTCATATTTTTATTAATTATAAAGACCAATATTTTAAATAGAAAGAAATTTGAGGAAAGAAACCAAAGTTAAAATGAAGACAAATTTAAGAGACTAAAAATTGTATTAACCCATTTTTATAAGAAATAATTTATCTCATAGTAGTGTCTTTAAATATAAGGAACAAATTCTCTTTGTCCGAAATTTTAAACTAGTTTTTTTTACTTTTAACCCATTAAATATATGTCACTTATTTTCGTTCGGCAATAAATCTTACTCATTATTTCTCATGTATTCTCTTTACAAATAAAAATATGATTAAAAAAAATTTGTACATATCTCACATATTTATTATTTTTAAATAAATTAGTAGCTATTTTTTTTTTTATAATAAAAGACGGATGGAGTATAACTTAAAATTAGTCAAGTAAAATTTGGGAAAAAAAAAAAAGACTACTCCTTACCGTCCTGATTATAAGATGACGTTAACTCCATGGTTAGTATAATACTCCTCCGATCTTTAATATATGACTCAATTGTTGAGTTAGTTTTGGTCCTAAATATAAAACTCATTTATCATATTTATCAATTTTCTCTAAATTATCTCTATGGATACTCTCTCAACCATAATCAAGTAGAAAAGGGAGGGGGTATGAAACAAGATGATTATGGTATTTTAAAAAAACATGTCACGTTTCTTAAAATTAACTAACTTACCTAACTTTTAGTCTAATCAAATTAGTTAAATATATCTTATATTAAAAATCGGAAGAGTAGTAAGGGTTAGTAAGAAGAAATCCTCTCTATTTAACTTTGGATCAAGTTTAGTGCATTACAGTTGTTCTTTGTTAATGATGAGAATTAATCTTAATTAAGGCATCGTCTCGTCCTCTGCATAATTTGGCGCAACAATCTTTGACCGAGATTAATTAATACTATTGCAAAAGTATCCCTCGGGAGGAGAGGGAGTAGCGACACCATCATTGTAAGTATTTATTGTTTATTTTATATTATTTGTTCTTTTTTTTTTTTTAAAACATCGAAATGATTTGAATCTTGTCCTTCTCACTCATCACGCCCCTCTGATTTTGCATTTTTGTGTCCTACTTTAGAAGATTTGAATTCCGTCCAATGTTAACAACTCAAAGTGTTTGTTATTGATCTCAAGAAGCAAAAAAATGGTTTTTTATTTAATTTTAGCTCATAATGTAATGTACATAGCAGTAAACAAAGAGATCGTTCAATTGAAACAGAAGAGAACATATAACAGATTGTATAGAAGCCATTTCCTTGTTAACTTGGGGTGGTAGCTATGAACACCTTTTTAAGAAATGTTATAAATGATGCAAGGATTTTGATCCATGAGGATTGGGTAGTACAAATTTATCATGTACACAGCCAGGCCAATCACATTGTTGATTTTCTCGCTAAACTATCTCATAAGACTGAAAACAATTTTTGTATCATTGATCAACCTCTATCTCTGTATTTAGAGGAGAAAAGTGATGAGGGAGACCAGATGTAACTGTTGTTTTGTTCTAAGCAATGTTATCTAGTTTTAATTTAAAAAACATATAAAATTTATGTTATGTTATGAAATAAGATTTTGGTTGTTTACTCTTTGAATATGAATTTCCATTTGGAAATGAAGCTGAAAATGTTTTATCTGATAGATTATTCAGCTGATAAGTTTAAGTAAATGGAATAATGTGCTAATAATATTTCTTCCTTTATTGGTGTAGTGCACATCTTTCTGCGTTTTTTGCCAGCATTGTGTACATCTTCATGTGACATTGGGTTTTCGTTTCTAATTTTATGTTTATTAGGCAATCCATTTTAATGCGTTGGTTGACCGTCTAGCCCCCTTTTCTTGTGGTTTTGGGAGATCCCTTTAGGGTTGATAATTTTTTTATTTTATACAAATACCCTATGTTTGCTATGAGGAAAATAGAGAACACGAGAAGGAATGAAAAATTTTAATGAGTTTGATTTAAAAAATTGAAAAAGTGGGGTTTTAAAATTTCAATAAAAGGAAACTGTAAGATCAAAGTGTTATGGGGACACAAAGTTGTTAATTTAGAACTGAAACTGGTTAACTATGTAATTAAATTTATTAATTTTTAAAGTTGTATTATGATCAAATTTTATTTAAAAACTTATTGTAAGTATGTTATGGAGACAGAAAATTGTTAATTTAATATTGAAATATGTTAATTGCAAAATAAAACATGTTAATTTAGAATTTTCTTTTGATTTCTAATGAATGGGCATTAGAATCATTTCATAAAATTTTAAAATCTTCTTTGAACCACCTGACTTGATTAAGAGTTTGACAAATTTAATTATCAAAATAAAAATTTGGATTATTTAAATGTATTTTTAAGGAATTTTCCTTAATAAAAATTAATTAAACACTTTTAATTCTACTTCTTTAATTTTTTAAATCAAGCTCATTACATTTTTCTCTTCCCCTCCTCCTTTTATTTCCCTCATATGCAACAGACCCCTACCCTATGTATGAGGAAAATAAAGGAAAGGGAATTGATTTAAAAAATTAGAGAAGTGTGGTTTTAAAATTTCATTAAAGAGAAAACATAAGGTAAAAGAATAATAAAAATTGATTAAAATTTTTTTATTCTACTTCTTTAATTTTTAAAATCAAGCTCATTAAAAAATTTTCTCTCCCTTCTCTCTCTTCATTTTCCTCATGCGAAAGATATCCTTAAACACACACGCACGTAAATGTGTATTTATGTTACTAGAACAACTTGCAGTTGACATTTAAATTTATCAATTAAGTAATGCTCAAATTTGATTTGGTCGTGTGCTACTCAGTTATAAATAATAAATAAATAAATAATTTATTAAAAAAAAAAAAAATATATGTTACTTATCTATAAAAGGAACATGTATTTGTTTCTTTAAAATGCTTTTTTAATTGTTTATATTGAAAATTAATTTCTCAATAAAAAGCTTCTTAATATGTATAGTTAATAAGAGCATTTAGAAAACAATAATTATAAATTTGAAACACAAATCAAAATTATATATTTAGAAACAAAATAAATCGAGATTTATATTTAAAATTAAAGTAAATTTTTCTACTAATCGTTACATTTACAGCTGAAGAAGTAATAAATATAATTACTATATAAAAAATAATACTAATGCTGGGGAAGAGAGAAAAGAAATTGGAGTGGTTACTGTCTTGCCTGATTTGGTTTGACTGGTCCATGGAATGGCAATGAGAACTCAAGAGAGAGTACGTTCGGCTCATTCTTCGCTTTCCGGTACCGATTCCATGAAGAGTAGACATTCTCATGTTCACGCGAATGATAATTCCATAGAATCAATCAGCAAGAACCAGTTGAGTTGAGGGCTCATTAAACTTATCAGATTTGGATTATTCAAATTGGATGTGAATGGTTAAAATTTAAAATTTCAATGATAATTCAGAGATTATTTTTATTTTAATTATATACCTGTTAAAATAATTATTTTGAATAAATAAGAATAAAATCTAAATTGTCTAAATCAGACCTAAATTATTCAAATTTGATGAGTTTGCACTCATCAAAGTGATGTGCGCCAAACTGATTCCTCAATGGACATCATTCCTGAAAACGAATGCAAGAGAAAAATGATAAAAATAACCTTTTGCTCTATTCATTGGCATTACTATTTTGGTGTGAATTAGGAACATGATACAAACAAAGCGGGCCCAAATGGAATTGGCAATTTATTTTGAATTGATATCATTTTTAGTTTCTTAAATTTGTTCTTATTTTAATTTTGATCTCTCAAGTTTTAAATCATAGGATTTGTCTCTCATAAAACAAATTAATCCAATTTTTTTTGAATTATAAAGACTAATATTTTAAATAAAAAAACTTGAGAGATAAAAATCAATAAGAACAAACTTGAGGGATCAAAAATTGTATCAATCAATTTATTTTCTTATATTTATGGTCATTTAAACATTGTTTTATAATTATAAGATGCCTTATTATTGGTATTTCAATTGTTAATAATTTTCAAAATATTATAGTATATTTTTAATTATGTTAGTGATATATTTTCTAACCACTTTTAAAAAAAACCTTTCCAACTATTTGGTTCGTTAGAAAATATATAAAATCAAAAGTAACCAATTAAAAAAAGTTCATATATTAAAAAAACCAAATAATAATATTCAGGATCGATTCAATTTACTTTATTCGGATCGCCCAATTAAAGCACTAATTTTCCTATGTTTTTTGTTTAAGTATGTGCAATTTAATACTAATAAAACTATCTCAATACTGTTAATTTAACACTCAACAATAAACAATATCACATCTTTCTATGACATCAAGTCTCACAATTTTCAAAAGTATCCTTCATTTTTCTTGAAGAAAACAAGAATGTTTATTTATGAAAGTCGCTTTTTGTACGCGGAGTAACGTCAATGTCAATTTATGAAACCAGAAAAGAAAAGAAAAGAAAAAGTGACACTCAATTGTTACCCATAACAATCACTAATCAGTTGGATTCCATGATTAAATTTCTAACACTGGACAAATTTTAGGTGCTATAAAATATATCCGTATGCAACGTTTGATTTTTTTTTTTTCCTCCCAATTAGGGGCTTAAGAATATACTGAAACCATATGTCTTCTAAATTTTGTATCATTACATCCACCTTCTAGGTAAATTATGCATTATTTTCACTAAGCACAAGTGTTGTCTTTTTAAAAGTTTGTTTGAAGCACTATTAGATATTAAATGTGGATACCTGAACAATTATTTTATTTTTTAAAATTTCAACAGTCATTTTTTTTATCTTCTTAATTTTTTTTTTTCATTTTAAAGTAGCACAAGTGTTGCTATTCCCAGTTTAATTAATGTTATTTATGTCACAGGAGGGTATATGGAGAATTTCACAATATTTTCAAAAAAATATTTTTAGCTTTAATAACTCATAAGAATTTCGAGTAATTTTTTTTTTTTTGGTTTTGAAACAATTATGCATATATTCTGAAATAAAAACAGATTATTCCTTTGTATAAAAATTGTCTAATATTTTCTTACTTTTCTAAGGAAACAAATGACATCTCCTGTGTTAACCATGAAAAAACTAACGACAACACACTTTTACCTTGATCTTTTGAGCATAGGCTGAGTAACTTTAGATGTTTTTTTTTGTTATAATATAACAAAAATTCCATTTTATTATGGGGAAATGACAAAAAAAAAAAGAACCTTGAATTAGCAAAATAGCCAAATGCACACCTGGATAAGCTTAATTGTTTGGAGAGACTGGATCTTAAATTGCAATTATGAAATCAAGCCAAAAAAACAGAAATAACCCTCCTTTTTCTTTTTCTTCTATCACCCCATCTACTTTTCTTTCCTTCTTCTCTTTTTCTTTCTCTCCCTCTCTTCTCTGCTTGCAATGGAGGGAGCTTAATTGGAGATTTCAAATCCCTGTGAAATGTTAACGGGTCTTCTTATTAGAATTCAAGCTGTTATTACTTTACTTTAGAAGGTAAGTTTTGAGCTTTACTTATGTGTTTGCTATTCATTTTGATTTAATTGTGCATTTCTCATGCTATTCTTTCTCTCTCTTCCTGTTTCAAGATAATAGCATTGATAGACTGCAGCAAGAATGCCAAGAAAAGGAGCCTAGGAACTTGCAATTTTTCGATGCTGATCTTATAAATCTCAAGCATCCTATGTCCCATAAGAAAAAATAGGTTTATGAGACCTCTGATGATGGGGAGTTTATCATGAAAATAGAGGAAGATATTGGCTCTATTAGAAGGTAAGATATGATTATTTGTGAAAGTGAAAGTGTTGAGGCATTGTTCATGAGAACTAATGGTTTGAATAAAGAACAGAAGAAAATGGAAAAGTTAAATTAGATAGTAAAAAGAACTGAAAAGCTTGTTGACAATAGCTCAATTCCTTTAAACTTCAAATTAGGTGAAAATTAGAATGGAAGCCAAAAATGATTGCTGCCAAACACATACAAGTTTTTTGTTATTTCAAATATCATTGTTGTAATTTCCCATGATAGTGTTGTAATTGTAGACTTATTACTATGATGGCAGTAACATTACATGATGATATGGAAATGATGCTACT